TGCTTTCACTAGAATTTTTGCTATAGAAATACATTTGGAATGTATAAACTATATTCCTATTAATGCAGGGTTACCTCCTAAGATTCCATCCACTATACTCCTTGCTTTGAACACTTAAACCTCATTGAAAATATGCATGTTAAAATCCAACTATTTTTCACCCACAATCACACATGGAAAAATGCATGCAGTATATATTTATGGTACACCATTCCAGTAATGTTTCCCAATGGAAGATATCCTATATCCAAACATTCATAAGTACCCTTGGACAATGACTTGGAATCTGTCATTTGACTTGTCTTGAACAAGGGACAGTATATACAATGCAGGCACAGATTGAGAACCATATACCTACTCATGCTAGCTTTCTTGTATAGTCATATTGTGAAGAAGCTTGGAGCTGTCCTACTGGAGACAGAGGGCCTGCCAAGAGCTAGCATAAGTTACTGGCCTTGTGAGTGAAACTAACTTAAAACAATCAGCCTTAGGGCCAGGGAGATAGCTCAATAGAATAAGTGTTTGCCTGGCAAGCTCAGGGTCCGGAGTTCAATCCCCAGCACAGAAAAAAAAAAAAAAAATCCTTAGCCAAGATAACAAATGACTAAAACTTTGTACATGAGCCAAGCAATACTAATAAAAATGCCCAGCAGACCCCACCATCAATTTGAATCCACAGAAATTTAAAAAAAAAAAAGGGGTGAGGGATGTTTTTTTTTTTTTTTTTTTTTCCAGTATTGGGACTGAACTAAGGACCTTGCGCTTGCCAGGGAAGTGCTTATTCGACTGAGCCATCACTTTTGACAGTATGTGTTGGCTGGTTTATTAGCATAACAAATGCTGATATAGCTAAATCATCCACAACTCATTACTCACTGTTTTTAAACAAAATAATGTGTATGAGAAAGTCTTAAAATGTAATTAAATGAACTGCATGGCTATCCATAAAGTACTGAACATCACAACTTTCTGTATTTAAGTTAGGTTGCTGGAGCTAGTAGCAATGACATAAATCACTAAAAAGCAAATGTATACACACAAATAGACTGTTTCAAGATTTTACTCATCATAAAATGTCTACTTTGGGGAATGGTTTTTCCTGTTTTTTCAAGACAGGCTCTTGGTACCTAGTTCAGGCTGGCCTTGAACTCACAAAGTAGCCTGACTGGATTCAAACTAGTGGTGATCCTACTGTCTCAGCCTCTCAAGTGCTGGGATGACAGCTATGTGCCACCACTAATAGCATATTTACTTTAAAAAAAAAAACCCCATAAAACAGGGGTTGGGGATTTAGCTCACCTTCCTGGAGGTCCTGAGTATGATTTCCAGAACCTAAAAAAACACATAAAACAAGTCTGTTACAGGTTGAGTATCCATTATCTTAAATGTTTATGCATAGAAATGTTTCATCAGACTATTTTGGATTTTGGAACATATGCATAGATTTTACTGGATTTCCATGCAATCTAATCTTCCCATTTTAAGTAATGTAAAATATGCTCATTTGTGGGGGAGAATTTAATATTTTCAATAATAACCATTAAGTTGAAAAGAGCTGTGTTAGTAACACTATGAGGTCACATAATCATCAGAAAGTGCTAGGGATAAAAAAAGCTAAGGAAGTTTAAGGCAAGGTTATTTTAAAACCATATGTGCCACATTGACCTGTTTTGTAAAATCAATCTTAAAAGTGAAATAAAAACCTGATTTGACTAAATTGTGGCAAAAGAAGTGACACTAGCTAAAAATGAAGATGTCTAATATCTTAAATCATGTTACCCTAGGCAGGACATATCACCTGAAATCTTTTTTTTTTTTTTTTTTAAATCTTTCACAGAAAGCAGAAGAATCCTGGCAAATCCTTCTTGAAGTACCAAGAAGAACCATCAGGCTGGCTAAAGAAGGCATCAACACATCTCAAGATGTCAAAGATTAGCGTTGGGGGCCAGGGGAGATGGCTCAGTGGAATAAATGTTTCCCAGGCAAGTGCAAGGGCCTGGGTTCAATCCCTGGTTCCACCAAAAAAAAAAAAAAAAAAAAAAAGATTAGCTTTGAAAGAGGGAGAGACTGAAGAGATAGGAAGGTTAGCGAGCACTGCAGATATATCCTCTCAGGTACGACAGGGCAACCCTCTGGCCCAGATCCTACTCTCATGCTCACTCCAATCAGTAACACTGCTAGGTCCTGACTGATCCTTCAGTCCAGCTCACTGCTAATGGTTTAAGTCTTTCAACTGCTCTTAGTAGAGAGCTTCAGAAGAAGTACTCTCACCCCAATCTTGTGCACTCTGGGCAGCAGGACCAGTAACTGCTTTAGCCTTGTGAAGCTAGGAGCTTCTTCTTCTTGAGGCTCTTCTTGCCTCTGCCCTGAAGTGCTAGTGAAAAGGTTCAGACAGGGGAGGTATTCTTTTGGGTGGATGCCCTCCAAGCTTTGCTACACCACCTCCAAACAACACAGGAATATCCGGTATCCCTATTTCCCACGTAGAACTGTTCCTGAAAACTAGCTCCTATATAAACTTCTGTAAACCCAAACCAGGAGTAGTAGACAGGAGGCACCTCTATGTAAGTGGGGATCAGAAAAGTCACTTGCTAAGGAGACGCCACAAACACAACTGCCACACAGCAAGACTCGCGAGCAGAGACAATGGAAATTTGGCAATGTTCCTAGCTTCTGCTTTTCTCATCCCCCATGTGGGCACCTGAAAGTAGTCGCCATCTCATTTGCTCTCTTGGCTGTCTACGCTTATGTTGCAGATGAGTAAAATAAATGTCTCTCTGGTTAACAGAAGCATCCTTCTAGTGAAAGGGCAAGAACGAAGACCTAAGTTTTCTCTGCTCATGCGATCTGCAGACCCAGGCGCTAGCCCACTCGCAGAGATTCTGGAATCAAGGCCTTACAACTAGAGGCACACAACCGCCTTCGGGCAGCCGCTGACACAGTATGACCAAAGCCCAGCCCTGGCGCCCTCCTGTGCCCCGCACCTGGGGAACCCAAGCGAAGTGGCTCCCCGGGCCGCCCAGCCAGCGGCCCGCACCTGCACGTCGGCTCCTGCCAGCGAACCACCCAAGTCTCAGGTCCCAGGGTCAGCCAAGGTTGGCGCCCCCGTGGCAACTGCTAACCAACCTTCAGGAGCCCAGAAGCCAACCCAAACGCGTCCGAGGAGCTTCGAAGGGCTACAGCGACCGGAATTCCCGGCGGAAGACGCCAGACAGGGCGGGGCGGCGCACGCGCAGAAAGAGCACAGAAGCCCCGCGCGGCCGGGAGGAGCGGATACTGCAGTCCCGGGAACCTCCCGGCGAGCGCGGGCTGTTGGAGGAAGGGCTTCGCCCGGGCCTGCACTGGGGGCCGGGTTCTGCGCACCCGCAGGGGAAGTGCGAGACCCGTGAGTCGGCTTGCAAGAAGTCCTGGTTTACAGCCTAAGGCTTTGTGGGATAAATTCGGATGTGGCCAGATTACTGACAATCTAATTGTTAGTGTTGTCGTTTTGGTAATATAATCGCGGCTGTAGATCCACTCTACTTTTTTACAGATACATTCTAAAGCAGAAAAATTGTTCTGTTTTACTTTAAAATTTCTAACAAACAAAAAGTTAACATGGTAACTCTTTGCACCTTTAAAGACACTTGTTCTCAGTTACAAAATTGACCTGTGAGTTTAGTGGATTGTGTTCCGCAGATGAAAGCAAACTGTTCTAATCAGCACGCTACAAGAGTAACAGGTTATGCAGCAGGTGTGCCCACAGTCCTTGTGCTAGTGTACATTTCCAAGGTCTGATAATTATTGCTGAGAAATTCGCAGTTCCACCTTTGCGAACAAGTTCATAAAGGATAAAATAGGATCACATAAAGCCTTATTAAAGGAATAGTAGGAAACGTTACTAAAGGTGATTTCTGCCTCTGCAGATAGACTCTGCAGTCAGAACAATCAGAAAGACAAAGGAGGAAGAAGCTATATTGACGGCAGCACAGGGGACACAATTATTCTAAGAATTTATCAGAAAGTTAATGCTAAAGAAGCTAGGAACAGGCAGGCACTTAAGATCAGGAAAACCAGCTCCACTCAACCAATCTGGTAAGATGTAAGGGACATAGGGGCAGCCACCCGAGGACTCCTACTTAGTATGTAAGATTCACACAAGCACACCTACACATATATCTGTGTATGTGCACACTTTAACATCACTGTATTATTGCATCACATACACACATGTACCCTTTACTTAATCATTGACTCGAAGCTACCTTTCTATGAGCCACACACACTTATCACAAAGAGACAGGAAGAACTCAAATGGTCAGAAGAAATGCAGGAACATATGCCTTAGGATCAAAGACAGGAGAGCACATCAGATGGCAGCAACTTTCAGAGAGATAAAGACAAAGATCCACTTGAGTATTTCACTTTTGAATACTCTCTACTTGTCTGGAGTTGTGGTCTGTCATCTCTCTCTACCTTCAAATAATCGTCTTCTTTTACTTTAAACTCTGTGTTTTTAGCTCTTATGTCAGGTTTAGGATCCCTGGGAGCTGCATTTTTCCAGCAGAATGATAGCTTACTGTCCATCCCTGGACACATCCACCCATTCATGTATCCAGTATTTAGGATTTTTTGTTCTTGTGTTCTATGAGATCAAGTTTAACCCTTGTCTTTTCATCATTTCAGACTCAAAGTAGGGTATGTCTAATAATCTCAGCAATCTGAGAGGCAGAGGTGATGTGTGTGTGTGTGTGTGTGTGTGTGTAAAGCTTTTTAATTAAGATGAGATTCCAGTTGATTCTTTATAATAGTTCCCTTGTGCTCTGGGTTTTGTTCATAAAGTCTTTGCACACACGTATATCTTCAAGAGTTCTACTTATTCCAGTTCCCAGCAGATTTAGTGATATATATATATATATTTTTTTTGGGGGGGGGGGACTGGGGATTGAACTTCGGTCCTTGCACTTGCCAGGGAAGTGCTTATTCCACTGAGCCATTTCCCTGTCCTTAGTGTTTATTTTTTTTCATAATTTTATTGATAAACAGCAATGAGACAGTTTCAAATCAAATCGCTAGGACAGTTTCAATAACTAACACGCTGCATACATTCTTCTTAGTGGTTAATTGATGTGTGTTTATATTTTAATATTTAGATTTTTTTATTTTATGGGAAAATAAAATAATTTCATAACACAATAATAGAATGACAAAAGCTAATACATTGGGTATTATCTTTAATCAGAGCAAAATATATGGCACCAAGAATTCTCCAAATGATATTAGCACAAACTTTTCAGTGAACTAAGAGAAACTAGTAGTATTACCACTTGTATTTTGGGGCGTTTTTTTCCCTTCCTTTCTTTCCCCTTTGCCCCATCATAGATGCTTTATTCTTTTGAACAACATCTTCCAATTTTACAGTATCAGTTCTGCATTTTGGATCTTATTTACTCATTCAGTTACGCACAGCAGGGAGGCAGTATGGTCTTTGCATATGTGAGTCTGATTTATTCCACTTGTAAGCATGGATTCTAGTTGCACCATTCACCTATAAAAGCCTCAGTTTATCCTTCTTTATGACTGAGTGGTATGTTATTCTATAAGCAGACCACAGCCTTTCATCCATCCCTCAGCAATAGACCTCTGGACAATCCCCAGAGCTGGCTGCTACATGCTATGCTGCTGTAAACACACGTGCACACATGCTGCTGTAGTCTGACGGGTTATGTACTTGGTGCAGCTCAGACTTGTAGTGACCATCCTGCTTTCAGCTCCCCAGCGCTGGGATTACAGGTGCTCACCACTATGCCCTGACTCCTTCGATAGCCAGGGGCCCAGGGCGGGGCCAGTGTGGCATGTGGCACTGGGATCAAAGCCCAGTCCCTGCACCTTCCTAAGCAGGTGATTAGTCTGCTGAGCTACCTCGCCAGTCCTTGATGTTTTTAATCATTCCTGGAAGATACCCATACGTGGAACAGCTGGGTCGATGGCACCTCTATCTAAACCTAGTTTTATGAGGAATCTCCATACAGATTTCCACACAGTTACACCAGTCTGCACTCCCACCAACAGTGGAGGAGCCCCTCCAGCATTTGTTATTGGTTGATTTCTTGATATCCATTCTTTCTGAGGTGAGTTGAAGTCTCAGTGTTGTTTTATTAGTTTTTATCTCTCAAATGACAAATGATGTTGAATATTTTTCATATATTTATTTGCCATTTATATTTCTTCATATGAGAAGTGCTTATTCATCTCAGATGCCCATTTTGATTTGAGTCTTTGAATTTGAAAGGACATGATTTTTTTTTTCAATTTTTTGTGTGTTGTAGATATAACTGTTTTGAGGAACAACTAGTTATAAATTTTTTCCATTCTGTGGGTTGTCTTTTCACTCTGTTGGTTATTTCTTTTGTTGTGCAAAATCTTTTTAATTATATGAGATCACAGTCGTCAAATCTTTGAAGTATTTCCTATGTTATCTGGGTTTTGTTCAAGAAGTCACTCCCGGTGAGATGGCTCAGTGGTCTAAAGCACCTACTTAGAACAAGCTTAGCAAAGCACAGGGACCGCGGTTCAATCTCCCAGCACCACATGCCAGCCAGCC